CCAGGGTAGAAGAATTCGAAGTAAAATTACTTTCTGCATCTTTTTCTTGGATTGGACTTTGTGATGTTCCACGAAAGACAAAGGTATGTTTTGGGGAATTTAAATCTTAAACACACAAATAAATAGAAGCAGAATGCTACAGTCTAAATGAAAAACTTTACTGTAAGCGCTTTCAGCAAATGTTCGCTCTTCAAATATATAGATGTATTTATAACTTACCTACTATATGAAAATGAAGAAAGAAAACAATAAAGTTCAATCCAGGCATGATTGCGCCTTTGGATTTCGCAGTTTTTTATGTTTTTTTTTTACTCTAATGACTACATATTTATTATACTGATTTAACATGTATTTTATTTATTTAACAGGAAGTTGGGGGCAATTCCATTCTTTTAATTCAATCAACCGTCTTGTATTAACTTCCTTTTAATAAAGTAAATATGATTATCTCATAAATATGCATTTATTTAGTGTTCTCCCCAATACATGAACAAGAAAACAACATGTCATTTTTTTTAAAACTGTGAAGAGCAACAGATAAAACTTTTTATAGTAAGGGTACTTAACACAAACAAAAAAATTTATGCATGGATTGATATTTATTTTTTGACTAAATTTTGATTTGAAATGACATAGATAATAAATCCTTGAGATATAAAGAAATCGTAGGTTTTCCTTGGTGTTTAGATATGAGACTTTTTTTTTGCTTCCTATTTAATTCCATACAAAATCTTGCACAAGTTTTTAAAACCTTATGACAAAATCTTGTAAAAATTTCCTGCTATACTTGGTTAACATTATTCAGGTTACCAATTTAAATGTAAATCTATTGGAAATATTGCTGATTTCTGAAAAAAGTTTGTGTTATTTATCCTTCAATATCAAAATAGTAAACTCAATAATGTTTTATAAATCTGCGAATGGTATAGCTTGCTAGATATACCGGTATATTAAACGGCATTTATCTTGGACAGACGCAATAAATCAAAGACAAATTTTTCATGTTTTTTTTCTGTATTTGGCGCTTTTGGGCACGGCTGAATAATATAACAACATACTATTTCGGGCCTCCAAAGCATCGGGTAGGCCCAGCAACAACAACAACATTTCAGTTCAACAACAACAACATTTCAGTACAACATCAACATATCAGGTGACCTTGACCCTGGGAGATGCAGAAGTCAAGATCAACAACATTTTAGTACAACATCAACACATCAGGTGACCTTGACCCCTGGAGATGCAGAGGTCAAGGTCAAATAATAAAAACTTGCAGTGCAACAATAATATTGACACATCCCCGACTCTGGGAGGTGCAGAAGTCAAGGAGGAAAATAAACAGTTTTGTTTACACTGTCACACTATGAACATGGTATTCATTTTTGACCCCGTGTAGTGCAGCGGTTAAGTAATTAACCCATATTACATCATAGTTCAAGTGATGTATGCCGCTCAGTTCGCAGTCTATCTTCAGAAGTGACAGCCGTGCCGAATATGTAGGTACAGGTGACCAGTTGCTATGTAAAACTCAGTTCGCAGTCTTCAGAACAGAACAGCCATGCTGAATACGTAGGTATAAATGGCCACTTGCTTTGTAAAACTCAGACATGTCAGTTCCCATTCCATCTTCAGAAGTGACAGCCATGCCGAATATGTATGTGCAGATGACCATTTGCTTTGTAAACTTTTCCACTGAAAAGAAAAAATAGAAACCAGCAGTATCTATTCAACAATGTACAGTTGGGGGATTAGGGTAGGGAGGGATTTCTGAAATATACACTTATCCATTGTTTTCTCAGATTTGATTAACACCAACCTTGCAACTAGCGTGTAACCGGCAGAGAGAGTTTGTAGTTAAAGTTATTAAAACTTCTAATTTTTTGGCGGGTTTGATTGACACATCCTTGCACTTTCACAAATTTAATTTTATTCTTAATACTTAGGAAAAGTGGCAATCTTGTTGTGTATAAATAAAAAATATTAACACTACGATCCAGAAAATTCAGAGTAGACGGGTTCGAAAGCTAAAAAAACACGCAATGTATTGACTGTCAGTCCGTGCAGTTGTGGTGAGCAGATTTTGACGATTGAACGCACCCAGTGAATTGTAAACATCAACAATAACAGAGCTCGTGTCCTGTTCACATAAACTGTGTACATAACACGAGTGTGCTAAACTCTGTACACAACACATAGCTTGGAATGACGATACTTGTGAAGGAGTTTTGCTTTCTAACATTTCTACTCTGAATAAAATTATTTTTCTAGATTAAAATTTTAATATTTCTCATTAATACACAACAAGATTGCCACATTTCCTAAGGATTAAGAATAAAGTTAAAATTTGTGAAAGTGCAAGGATGTGTCAATCAAACCCGCCAAAAAATTTTAAGTTTTAATAACTTTTAAATGAAATAAGATGTTTAATTAATTTTTGTGTGAAATGCTATTAAAATATATAATTTATGATATTATACAGAAAATATTAAAATCTGTGTCCAAGTACCTTTAACTAAACTAAAAATATGCAAAGATAGAACCTTCTTAATTAGTTAATTACAAATAATGCAGAATAAATGCAGTGGTAAAGATTGAGTAGTGTGACACAGACTAGCACTATTTAGGTTAAACATTTAAAGTGAAGAAATAATGAATTTTCGCGGTGCCAAAAGTTAAATTAAAATGGAAGGGTTTTCAAGTAAAATTTTTTTTTTCCTAAATCTCCTCTGGAGACATAATTTATATTCATGTTACTTATATTTGAATTACATGTAATTTCTAATTACAAAAGTCTGTTTATTTAAATTATGTTAAATTGATGACACGTGTTCAGTTTGAACTTTATCTTTTATATTCTCTTTATTCTGCTGAACACAGCATTGAAAATTACTACGAATTAACTTTTATTTTAAAATAATTTTTTAAAAACTCTTTCGAATATAATAACTTGAACTACAGTTTTTTCAAAATAGTATTTAAATATTATTCCGTAGAGATTAAAAATGAAACATGATAATGATTTGTATATTATATTTCTGTATAAATTTCACTGCTTGCCGTAATAAAAATGTAAGTAAATTTGAGAATATAACCATGTTTTGCATACTAGTATACATCTGACTTCTGAAAAAAGTCCGAGAATTGTTATCTTTTGGGAACTTCTCAATTTCTTTTGTGATATGATCTTGTCACTATTTGTCCCGAAGAGTAGTATTTTGATACAGATGTCTTGCACCCTTCTTGTTCTTATTCTGCTCTGTTTTTACTTTTTCTGCTGTTTTAAGTTGCAGACGAGAGTAATGACTTTGGGTATCAATACTCGGTAGTTCACATCTCAAATAATTGTGTTGTAGCTCGAAGTTCTGTTCATTAGGACTATTCTTTGTTTTAACTTCATGATCTCGAGTGATGACAGAGGCTTTACTGCGATTCCCCATCTTTGTCGCCTTGAAATAATATTTTCTGCTACAAAAGATTGTTGAATTTCAAAAAGGCAGTAGATAATGATTTGTTGAACACCCCTTATGCCGCATATAAAGAAATTTTAAGGGCACAGGTGTTGATTGTATGCTTGAAAGAACAACCAACCTTTTGTAGCAGTATAGCAACATTGAGACCATCACCAAAATACCCAATATTGCTAAAGTTGTAATCCAAGGAACATTTTCTATAAGAGTGTCATGGAAGTCTGTAATAGAGAAATGGTTACAAATTTAATTTGATTTATACATCTCCAGGTTAATGTTAGCAGTTTTCTTTTTCCAATGATTTCTTTTATTTTTCTCAAATAACATTGAATATGTTATTTGCAATATCAGTTGTTTGTATTTCTTGAAATAATTTTGAAATAGTTTTATGATTAAACAATTCATTACGTCCTTGATAAATGAAAAGATTTAAAACTCACGTTTAGTCTTATTAAACTTACTAGAAATATGTATCAATTCTATTTCCTTACAAAGGACATAGTCGACTAGAATGGTAATACAAGAAGACTTTGGTGGCAATATACCATCCCCCTGAGATGCACACGTCGTCCTGTTATTAGAATCTGCAAATATGTGTATTTGATCACAATAAATTGTATTTTATTGCAACAAACACTTTTAACAACACAAAAGATAATGTGTAAAACTTTCTTTTTCTGAGATAAAAATATGAGTTATTAAAGTATTTTTGAAACTTGCCTTTTATCCAAAACACAGTTGTCCGCAGTTTATTTAAAAACACACTGTTATTCCATGAAAATGATTTTTGGCTATGACCAGAGAAGAAGAGTTTGAAGTACAAATACTTTCTGCATCTTTTTCCGAGATGGCACTTTGTGATGTTCCAAGAAAGACAAAGGTATGTTTTGAGGAATTTACATCTAAAACACACAAGAAGATAGAAACAGAATGCAACAGTCTTAAATAAAATATTTGCTGTAAGTGCTTTCAGCGATGTTTGCTCTTCAGAAATACTAGCATACATTGTAGATGTATTTATAACTTACCATGGGAAAAAAGAAAGAACACAATAAATTTCATTCCAGGTTGCATGGTGACGTCTTTGGATTTCACAATAAAAATTTCATGTCTTTCTAAATTATTGGGTACACGTTTACTGATTTAACGTTTATTTTTTGTATTTAACTGGAAGGTAAGGGTATTTTACTCTTTTTAATCCAATCAACCGTCCTCTTTTATCTTCCTTATGATTCTCTCATTAATATGTATTAGTGTTCTCCCGAATACATGAGCAAGAAAACAACAAATATTTTTAGCTTACTGACAAAGTATTTCAACGATATATTTATTTTGTAGTATGTACATAGTCATACTCAATAAAGAGCATTATGCTTCCTTAAAATTTGGTTGATGAAAAGGGCAGATCGTGATCGTAACAATGTCTGTGAGATGTCTGTTTGCTTTGCTCTCGATTTGTATTGTTTAGAAAAAAATTTTAAAAAAATTTAATTCTCCCAATAGATGTATTTTGAACTTATACTGACAATAAAAATTTTACAGTGATTTTTATTATATCTCAGTATGTTTACATGTCTTCATTCAGTGGTAGCTCAATGTTTTTGAAATAAGTTGTCTGGTATGGGGTTTCTATGCCTGTGTAGTGGTTCTCGTACTTTTCAGTTTGCTCTTTATGGGCTCTTCTCAAATGCAAATGGTCATATTGACCTTGACTATCAATGTACACTTGATCACAGCCCGAATCATTGACCTCTGTTTCTGTGTATCGTTCATCTTTAACACTTTTCGTTTCATCATCATTTCTTACAATGGCAGATTTTGTAATAAAACTGGTCGTCTTTGATGTCTCTGATTTCATTTTTCGTCTGAAAAAATACAACTCAAATTAAGTTTTATTGTGGTCTTTTAAGTTTTCTTTCCTTCGGAAATTTGACCGTATTGCTGTAAAATTATTATTATTTTGCAATTGAGGATACCAAAGACAGACCAACCTTCTTCTGCGTATGTAAGTTAGCACTAAAATCGCCAGTAAAACAGCTAGGGGTATAATAATGAACATCACAATGACTGGTACCGAGTCTAAATCTGTGAAAAATATCAGGATATGATTACAATGGATAGACATATTACATACCATGTGATTCGGAATGTGTGTGACAACGAAAATATACAAAAAAAATTGTAGCAGTGACAAATTGCTTTAAATTGTTCAATAAATGTAAATATGACATTTATTTGTTGTTTGAATTAAAGTATTACATCTTGTATAGCTTAAAATACGTCATCATTTATGTTTCTCTTTTTAAAATAATTGCCGTGATTCATTTTCCATAAATTAATATAATTACTTAAGTAAATAAAAACAGAATGCTGCAGTCCAAATTAAATATAATCATATACACATTAAAAACAAATAACATTTCCCCTCATCATTGATGCATGGATTACATGTATATAAATTCTTGATGAACTTTAGGATACAAAAATTCCGTGAAAACTTACTACTAGTACTGCTGCTCTGTATCGAATTTAATTTTCTACAAAGGACATACTCGATTGGAAAGGTATAACAAGAAGACTTAGGTGGTAATATACCATCACTCTGAGATGCACACGTCATCTTACCATCAGAATCTGCAAATACGTATGCATTATCATAAAGAAAATACTTCATAAATTGCATTTAATTACCACATACAGTTTCAACTATTTAGAATGTCTAAAAAATTTAGTTTCTTTAGTTGGTTAAAAATATTTCATTATTCAACATTTAAAAGCTTGCCTTTTATCCAAAACACAGTTCTCCGAGGTTTGCTCAAAAACACACTGTTTTTCCATGGAAATGATTCTGTGACAGTGGCTATAACCAGGGAAGAAAAATTAGAAGAACAAATACTTTCTGCATCTTCTTCTTTGATTGGACTTTGAGATGTTCCAAGAAAGACGTAGTTAACCTGTGGCAAATCGGATCCTAAAACCACATTAAAAAAAAAGACGGTTATATATTTGGTTTCCAACATATGTGCAATATGTTTAGAATAAAATACATGTATCACAAGGGAGTTTTCATTGTTTGAAGTCAGACATTAAAATTATCGTCTATTTTTTTTTTTAGTTTGAAAATGAAGCTTAAAATAAAAATATTTTCGTGCAATAATTTCATGCATCTCAATATGTTTCGACGCTCTTTGAAGTCTTTAAAAGGTCTTGTTGAAAAGAAAAGTTCAGCAAGCTCAAGGACCACGTGTTAGAGAAGAGTTTAACATCACGCTCAGGAATCGTTACAGCAAACTGCAGGACGAGACAGCTATCACTATCGATCAATTCCACCAAGCCATAAACGATGCCGCTGCAGAAGTCATAGGCTACAAGAGATGTGCCAAATCGGAATGGTTATCCAAAGACACGTGGACTACCATTGAAGAGAGAAAACAACTAAAGAAGAAGCTCTTAGATGCAAAGTCATCCAGATTGAAAAAAGGGCAGCTGCTCTTTTATAGAAAGAAAGACAAGGAATTGAAGACATCAGCAAGGAGAGATAGGCTCCACTGTACATAACAACTCGCTAGGGAAGCACAGGAAGCCGCTGAGAGAAAAGATATGAAAACTTTCTACAAGATCACAAAGAAACTAAAAGGTGATCAAGGCCCCAACCAAGACCTTCCTGTAAAAGCAGAGGATGGCTCAGCAATAACAGAGGAATTAGGAAAACTAGAGAGATGGAGAGAACATTTTAAGAAACGACCAGATCCATGTAAACTCCCTGACATAGATGAGGGAGAGACAGACCTGGAGATAGAAACTGGCTGCATTACACTGAATGAGGTAAAACAAGCAATCCATAAACAAAAAAATGGAAAAGCCCCAGAAGATGGTGTATGCCCGGAAATGTTGAAATCAGAAGAAAAAGAAACACCTTACATACTGCAGCGTATCATACAAGATATATGGGACAAAGAAGAAATCCCAGATGACTGGAAGAAAGGAGTGATAATTAATCTGCCCAAAAAAGGTGACCTTGGAGACTGCAACAACTGGCGTGGGATTACACTTCTCTCTCACCAGCAAGGTCTTCAGCCACATCATACTACAACGCATCAAAGCTGTTGTAGATTACATACTTCGGCAGGAGCAGGCCGGTTTTTGAAAAGGGAAATCTTGTATTGACCACATTTTTGTCCTACGACAGATATTGGAACAGTCGTGAGTGGAATAGTACACTATGCTGTATTTGTTGATTTTGAGAAGGCCATTGACAGCCGAAACCGCAAATCTCTCCAGAAAATCCTGCGCCACTATGGCATCCCACAGAAACTAGTTCACATCATCCAGTCCCTCAAAAACGGCTTTGAGTTCTGAGTATTACATAACAGCCAACTCATGGAGCTCTTCGCAGTGAACACCGGAGTGAAGCAAGCATATATTCTGACACCTGTGATATTCTCACTTGCAATTGACTGGGTTATGAAGAACACCACACGAGGCAAAAGACTGGGATTGCAATGGACACTGACCTCAGTCCTAGAGGACCTTGATTATGCTGATGACCTCAGCCTCAAACAGACACCAAAATATTCAGCAGAAAACAGAGCTCCTCTAACAAACATCTGACAAAATAGGATTGAAGATGAATACCAAAAAGACACAAGTTTTACGAGTAAACGCCACTAACAGTAATCCAGTACTAATCAACGGCAAGCCACTAGAGGATATTGAGGAGTTCACATACAGGGGTAGCAAGGTCACCACAACGGGCGACTGCAACAAAGAAGTCGACACCAGAATTAGCAAAGCAAATCAGGCATTTGAAATGTTGAAACCCATATGGAGATCCTCATTACTCAACATCAACACCAAGATCAGGATCTTCAACAGCAATGTCCTCAGTGTCCTCTTGTATTGATCAGAGTGCTGGAAAACATCCCTAGGGATTGAAAGATAACTAGAAGTCTTCCAAACCAGGTCCCTCGGACGCATCCTCAAGATCTTCTGGCCTAACACCATAACATAAAGATCTACTGGTAAGAACTGGGATGCCTACAATATCAGACCATCCAAATAAGACGCTGAGGATGGCTTGGTCATGTCCTGCGCATGCCTCCCAACTCACTGCCCAGGGTTGCCCTTAGATGGACACCCCAGGGAAAAAGAAGCAGGGGCCGGCCAAAGGAGACATGGAGAAGAACTGTCCTGAAAGACCTGAAGACCAGAGGTCTATCCATGGAGACAGCACCACGAGCAGCTGCAGACTGAGCCAGGAGGAAATACCTTGTAGCCACCTCAAGCACCTGATGGCGCAGAGAGGATTGATTGAGTGAATGAGTGAAAAGAAATAATGAATACATCTTGAAAGAAATCAAATTTTCTAGCCTGCTAAATGTATATCTGCATACAGTGTTATATGAAAAAGGTGAAGATTGTGATTGATTAACATGGAATCGAAATCAGAAAATCAGAAACAACAACAGGGAACAGGGCATAAAGCACGATCCTGAGGAGATTCAGAGGTGGGATCAGGAGCCTACGAGGAGTAAGCATCCCCTGATGATCAGTCAGACCCGCTCTGTGTATAGATCAGGAGGACGGTATATTCCGTAGTCAATTTTGGTACAAAAACAATGATTAACAATTAGTATGAAACACGTCAGCCAAAATCCCACAAAGATAGGTTACAATTATTAGCAAGATTATTATTAGTAGAGGTAAACTCCATATGATTGTAATATCGGAATATAACTACATATACTTGTAATAAAAAGAAAGTTGACGATGAAAATGCTGAATATCCATCTCGTTTGTCATTTTGTAAGTTGGTCCTTGTTGTTTATAACTAGTAAAATCACCCAATATTAAACAGATGTGAATATATTTGCTAGTAATTAATGTATCTTATTTCAAGTAACTAATGTTAGTTGTAAAAAGGCATCTATGAATAAATAAATAAATAAATGAAGGTACAGCCTACTCATGTACATGTTGATGTTTTTAATAAATTTTTGCTTCTTGGAAATATAAACGCAATGAAATACACTGTATATGGAGATAACGAACAATATTCAAGCTCAAAAGTCCACAAAACAATACAACATATGAGCAGAGCATACATGGACCTCCAAAACATCAGAGGTGGGAGCAAGTCAGCTTTTGATGCTGGAACACAATTAGAGCCCAACAACATCAGTAAGAAACTTAAGATCTTTAAATATCAAGTTTAAATTACTTTTGTGCGGAATCCAATCGAAGTGATTTTTAACAAATAAATTTTACTGATGACTAGTCAAGATAAGACAATGTCTGAGCTCCATTTTTTATTGAAGAAACAGTTGTCCATGATATCAAATAGCATAGTTTTAAATTTGTCGTGATAAATGGTTGAGCAGAAGAGTGAAATGTTTTGATGATAATGACATTAAAGAAATCTGATGATTTAAAGTTTCCTTAAAGTTTTGGAGATTTTTTTGGAATTCACATCTTACGAGTATTTACACCACTTATAAAATATGCTGCAGTACAGTACATCTGAAGTTTTTACTCAACAGCAGTTAATGTTTTAGTAAGGAAATAAGATAAGAGCTTTGTAGAGCATTTATTTAACCCTGTAAAACATCTTTTTTGTAAGGATTTCAAGTTGAAGTTTAGAAAACCGGTATAAGTAGGGTACCACTTTGGATGAGATGAATGTTAAACATTTGAAACACTGAAAGTGATTTTGAAAAATATCATCCTTGTACGAGTATAAGATTTCGAAACATAGAATTAAAACCAAACTTTATAATAAGAAGCATGATAAACAAAAACGATATATTGTTGCATGCCCATTAAATATTGTCCATGTAGTGTCTCATATTCTATTGTCAGATAAGCCGTTACTATTTTTGCAAGGAGTAGGGATGAGAGCTTTTGCTAGACCCGATGTTGTGAAGCAAAACGTTTCCCCGTCGTGAGACTTTCTGGAATTCATGCTCTAGAGTGAGCATTTCCTCTGTGGAGAAACGGTGAAAGTCTCACTGTAGAACATGACTTCCGAGGGAAGTCTCATTATGGGGGTCTCACTCTACGACACCAGAAATACTGGTGTATTTTTGTTTGTAGGGATTTTCATGAAGTTTAGGAATCCAGTAAAACAAAGGTAGCTCGAACTTACCTTGATTGACTGGAATATTTAAAGTTTGAAATGAAACTGAAATTTGATCTTCAAGAGTGGTTTGCATAAGTTTGATTTCAGAAGTATACAGCTGAACAATTAAAAATAATAAAAGTCGAAAGAATACTGTTTGTAAAATACAGACACGATATTGTCACAATGTTCGTATGTAGTCTTTCTAAATGAAATTAGAAGTGATCTGAAGTCCTAGGTATTTATTTTTATTTATATTTGTCAATCAATTTTCAATTAGAAAAAGCTAGCATAGAGGATACTTTTATTCGAGTTTCCCGGAATATGGATTTTCTGAAAATATATTTGAGATTTGATAATTTAACTTTCATAATGATTAATCAAAGTATAATGATGAAATTCAATGAAAATCCATGGAAAAACTACACATTAATTTGAGATTTCAGAGACATTCAATCACTCAACCCCTGATTTTCAGAACATAGGGGTCGGGCTACCTGAACAGATTTGCCACCTGACGGAAGTGTCATTGCCTTCTTTAGCTTAAATTTCTATCATGAAGTGGATATAGGAGAGCATCAAAATACATAATTATGTGAGAAATTTCTAGTTTAATTCATACATAATAAAAGTAGTTTTTAAGGAGTATCGCCAGACGACGAATTCAGATCACTTTGTTACGCACAATTGTATATTTAAGGGTCTCATATTTAATAGTTCATTCTATCTGCTTAGTTTAAATACAGTTTCATGAATGCAAAGAAAATGGCAACGTTTAACTTTTCATTAATACAACGGTGGTCGATTATCCATGACAATTTGTAGCTTTCATAATTGCGTCTAATCAAATTGCCCGTATATTTCGCATCAACGCATGTGATTTTACATGTTTTACGAGTAAAATAATGACAATATATTAATTTCTCCAAAAAATAAATTAAATATACATGTATATATTTTATACAATATTATAGAGAATAAAAATTATAAAGAAAAACTTAATTCCAGTCTTCAGAGATGCTTGCTGACTTACCAGCTGTACAGAAAGTGAATGAAACAACGATAAAGATGGTCCTTGGTTGCATCATCACATACGGTAGTAACAGTCTGTGATGTAGAATTAAAATTCTACGTCTTTCCTTTTGTGCAAAAAGGCGCATGACCGAGTTTTAACAATAGCTTTGAACAGGAAGATAAAATCACTTTTTATTTTTTTTTTTAATGATTTCAAATTAAATTTAAAAAAAAACTCCTGGGAAATAGTCTTAAATCTTCCGGCGTCGAATTTTTAAGGAATAATGCGTATCGCAATCTCATTTAGAAAATAGAAAGTTAAGGGATTTTCTTAACCTTAAAAGAAATGTACGCGGGTAAATTATTCCTATAAAATTCAGCAAAGACTTTAAAACTAAATACTTAATAACATTTAAAAACTAAAACCTATAGCAGTACATTGACAATATTGAAGGGTACACATCTTTTATCCTTGACTTTATCCGTGCATCTCTTATTCTACTTTTTGTTCTGACACTTATTTCAGGTCTACCAAAGCAAAGCATTGACTTCGCCATTATAATCATATTGGAGGCAGGGGTATCATTTAGTGCGCTTCATGTTCACAGTCTCCCTATTTGCTATTGCAACGTTTTGCTCTCAGTCAAACAACAGAAATATCTTTGGTCTTGCGTTGAAATCATGACAATCAACAAAGATCACTGTCTGCAGCAAAAGGTGCCAGGCAATCACACCTCTGCAGTTATGCCATCATGTCATTTCCATTTTTCTCTTGACTCTGTCATGTCCCATCTTTGACTTATGCTATGATGAATCATTGCTCATTTCAAAGAAACCTGCAATTCCATGCGGTTTCAAGCACTTACTTTTTCTCTTGATAGCTATACCTCTGTGGGAAGCGGACAACTATCACTGTTCTGTATTGATGCTTCTCTAAGACTGCACATACTGACACTTCATGTTCAAGATTTTCTCTGTGAACCGTCCCATATTTTACTCTTTCTGTTCAGCACAAGTGAATATACTTGAAGAGAGTGTTTTCTACAGTATAAATCTGTAAACAATTCACTTCTTGCATCAGTCTAAATGGGAATTCTGGATTTTTCTCAAGGTTCATGATCATCAGCAGTACATATGGCTTATTTTGGAATGAAAACTGTTTTCCTTGCAAGCGTGGCTTTCAAGTCGCAACTCATTCAGTATAATTTTCATACAAACATCTAATAACCATTTTACAATTCTTCCTCTATTCATGCTAAGTAAACAGTACGTGCTGGAACTACTACTTCATTATATTAGCAACATAATGGTTGGATGTTGTATGAACCAATATGATGGAAGGCAAAGCTCAACCTCAAAACTTTTCGCACAATGTTTGAATACCATAAATTACACGCTTTCAGATAATAGCAATTTTAAATTCAAATCCAAAACTGCGAGCTGGAGAGCATATATCTTAGAACTGCAGGTGTAGGTTTTAGGCTTTTCTCTCTAATACTAGGACCTATCTCTCCTGTTAGTGGTTTTGACTCATCAAAGTCATCACGTATATCTCTAGATTTTGAATTTTAAATCTTCTTCGTGACATCATAATTAGGTATGCCCTTGTATCAACCCGACGATGGTTTTAACCTTTTTACAGATCATGAGAGCTTGCATCGAGACCCATCGAAAGAAGTTTAATGTTTTTCAAAATGGAACTGCCAAAAGACGGTTAGACCCCTCATTTGCGCCATTCCTCCAACCATAGTAGTGACATGGGTCAGGCAACCACACTACTCAATTACATATATTTATTACTTACAACTATCGTCATCCTTAACATCTCTGTAAGAAAGTAATTCTTCACTGGAGTTGGGTGGGTACATGTATCATGTTGTAAATTTTGAATTTACCGGGTGGCAGTAAATACAAAATTTACAACATGACAACTGTTAATTTTGTATTTACTGCCACCCGGTATATTCAAAATTTACAACATGACATGGGGATAATCATGCTTTTTTCACTGGCTTACAACCATTATTGGCAATCTAAGCTATAAACCATATTTTCTTTGCAAAGATGCATCTAACCCATTTGCTTCGATTCGTGGGCTTCTATCACTCTATGCAAGATATTTTTCTTTTTTTGCTTGCAAGATTTTGCTGTCTTATTCATCAAGTAAACTCTTCATTTGATAAACAAAATATTTCTCTTCAATTATTATTAATTTTATTCTCCTAAAATTATATTTAACAATTTTATACAAAGGTAAAAAAAAAAAAAAAACAATAGTTCGAGCTTCATACACTATCAGCCAGCATTACTTCGATATATATTTACTATTAAGAAATTCAAATATATAAAAAAAAATTACGATATACTCGTAGTTGATGAATTATAGCAGAAGATCTATCCTTTACATACTTGACTTCTAAATAAATATAAAACTATACTTTAAATATTACCTATAAAAAATCAGTACGTACAAGTGGAAAAATTGTACTTCTACATTAAAATTGACAATTTTATCAAGAGTTTTTATTTCTCCTCTCAGCTTAATATATTTCTTCTTCCGCCGCTTAGTATATTTCTTCTTCCGCCGCTTAGTGAGATCTTTTAGCGTAGCACATTACACACTCCATTTTCTTCTTTTCGGGAGAGTACACAAATATCTCCTCCTTGACATCACTCTCCCTCATCACCATTATGATTTTACGCTGCTCATAGGCGTTACGGAAGCTGCAAGGAAAAAGACAGTAACAATTGGATTTGTGCTGAATATCATATAGCTTTGATATAAGACAAATGTTTAGATATACTCACAAAAAATACTCGTATTTTGGACAGTTCTGTTTAGGATTGTCCTTGGTAGATTTCCTGAATGGAGCTCGGTCTTGAATTAAAAAAAATATCATTGTTAATTACAAGTGTATACTACAGAAGCGTATACTATTAGTACCACGTAATATTGTTTAAGTTGCAAATTCACATAGTTAATTCCAACTTCAATCTCTTTTTCAGCTTTAAAGTTGGCTTTTTTAAGTTGGTAATTCTAACTTTAAAGCTGGCAACTCCAACTCCAAAGTTGGATTTACATGTACATAATATTATATGTACCAACTTAATTAAAAGTTGGAAATGCCAACTTTAAAGTTGAAATTGCCATTTTTTGAAGTTTGAGTTTCCAACTTTAAAAAAAAATATTACGTTTCACCAATTCTCTTCCGTGGTATCGGTATTTTCTTTAAATTGGAAAAAAGAAAGATTTGGTCTCCGTTTATCCTAATACCTTTCAGGTACTTGAATCCTCCCTTTATGGCCTGAGCTGCCCGACCCATTAAGGATAAAGACCAGTTCAATAACCTGGGTATGGCGGTACTTGCAATGACAGCAGCAGCAGAAACGCTCATCTCAACCGCCATCTGTTAACAAAAAATGAGTAAAAAATTAATTTCGTCAGAAAATCATCTTCCAGACTGTACGATCCTCTTCTATTCTGGCCGAGACAGGGTTATATTCGGACTTTATAGCTAGAGACCGTGGTGCTTTAGACAATGTGAAAAAAAATTAATGTTAACTCAACTTAACTGGCCATTTAGTTTATCATTCTCCAAACAGTACATACACTGTACAAACTCGGTTTAACTTTATCTCTTGATCGAAGTAACAGTTTGAAAAGGAATCCAGAAAAAGCGCGCCTGGTGCCTATATAACTAGTAACACTTGTGGCGCTCAGAAAAAAAAAACTGGGATGCTGCACCCATTGGTGTGTCATGTTGTAAATTTTGAATTTACCAGGTGGCAGTAGATACAAAATTTACAACATAGTTTTGTGTTTACTGTCACCCGGTAAATTCAAAATTTACAACATGACAGGTGGACAATTTTTATTAGAATCCAATGGCATAGATCGCAGAGGCACAATACACACCCTTCTATTAAACAAGTTTTGAAAGGGTCGTTGTGGTATATTTTAGATTTGGCAATATAGAATTTTTATCTGCAAACTCGTCTAACCCGACATTACCTTTATAAATCTTATATACAGACTTCATACATATAATTATAATATGATGTTTAAAATGATTAAATTGTTTGAATTTAATGAGCTATAAGTCTTTATTGTAAACACCATACTCACCGTGTAAAGGTCCTCCTTTCCTGGACAAGGTTTGGGTTTTTCCATAAATCCCAGCCAAATGGCAAACTTCTCAAAACTGCTCAATGGTTTCTCCTCACTATATAACAATAAGGATACATTTTTCTAAATATGAATAAAATGGTAGAATTTTCAAGAAAGGAAAAAATGATCGCACATATTGCAATAAAATTTACTACATCTCAATGACAGTCTGTATTTATCATATCTTAGCTATAAAATATATAATTAGGTTTTTCTTTGTTACTAAGCAGTCAGATTAAGGATTCATAAGTTCCCCCTGCTATCATCAACTTACTTACCAGTAGAAGTATTCCTTGTGTTTGGTCGTTATGACCAGCAGCACCAAAGATAGCACTGCAAGGATGTATGTTCTCTTAGTCCAGTTGAAGACAAAGAAAGCCATGATTCAATGCTTGAAAAGGAATTCGCGAAGAATGCTTCTCAAGGAAATAATGCAATGACGTCACAATGGCTTTAATTTATTGTTACGTCACAACATTAAAAATAGTGCTGGAACCCGAAGCTGCCTTGATATTCCCCACCATGCTTCCTTACTCTCTTCCGATTTCCTCTCTGGTGCCTGTACGCTCTTCTAATGCCCCATACCATACTAGTTTTATTTTTAAAAAAATTGTACTGAAACATAAACTTTAATTTACCAAAAATAATCTGAACTTGAGGAAGAATTTGAAAAGATAATGTCTGAAAAATGCATAATTATAGCAAAGGCATGATGTTACTAGCTGTAGAATTCGGTACAATACCAGAACGTGGGTACTAATATTTGTCCAAACTTCTATAAGAATGGAAATATATGCCTTAAATTCGAAAAGCAATTGTAAGAGATCGATCTCTCATTAACTTATCTAGTTAACTCACTATCCTTATTGAGAAAGAGATCTTGTAAGTACCGGTAACTGTTATCTCTTCATTTTTATAGAGAGAATATGTATTAAGACATCTTTTACAAAAGGTTAATATTTTGTCAAAAGAAAAAAATGGTTTCTTTGGAAGAAAAACACACACAACAATATATATTTTTAATTTTATTTTAGACAGTTTTCATACATGTATGTAAATGCATATGCATGCACATGTACACATTCTAACATACAACCTCCTACATCTGGGAGGATTGTATAAAAATTACAAGGAAATTTTATAAATTAACAGTTCGTTCGAATTAATTAAATTACAACATTATAGATAGGTCCCTGATTATAGCAATAGTCTGTATAATAATCAAGAAACTCAATTCGATTAAATAAATATCCATCTTTCTTGTACAAATGTATTTCCTTGAAAATATATGTACAACTTTCTTCAAATACATAAATTAATGATCCCCCCCCCCCGTATTTCCAGTCAAAATAAAGTTGGACAGTGGTTTAAATAGGATAGTCAAGAATGAAAATATTGCTCATTTGAAAATGATCCCAACAAATGTTTCAAATGCGGCAATTTTGAAAAATTTGTGCATTTTAGTGGTTGTTCTAAAAATCCTAATTTTTGTGACTGTTTATCTTTCAATATTGCGTATCACTAGTTCACACATGGCTAATTTTAATATTTAATAATTCCTATCCAATCAGAGCCGCGGAAATATTAACATCCTTGTTTACAGAGGGCTCTGCAATCGGAAGCGTGAACAACTTCCAGTTGGCGGTGAACTCGTATACAGTTGACGTGTTCTATGAAATTTGGAAGCACGGGTGGACTGATCATCGATTATCAACATGGGTTCACTGATATCAAGATTCCGTGTATGTGTTTACTTGTCAGCTATTTTATTGTGTTTTGTGTAAGTCGTGTATTTGGGTAGTAGCAGTCGTTTTACCACAGGCTGTTGTCTGCTGATTACACCAACTCACGGATTTGTAATCATTATTTTTGTGTATATGATCACTGATAATAGATTTTTGTTAAACACAGAAACAAGAAAATGTTTGACAACATTGTGCTGTAGTAGATGTTTTGTAGTAGTTTATTAAAACTTTGAATGGCATGGGTAGCAAAATTGAACACCTGGATGAGGGGGGACCATTTAGCTGTCACTGGATCAAAATGTAAACAGTCTCAATTTTTAAATAAGTAATTTAGCTGAAAATATTCCAAGGCAACAAAAGGAAGGCACATACATATCATGTGATTGACATTTCAGAGCATGAATCACAGCATATAATCTGAGTGTTTTGCCAAGACCAAATTTTTTTTTAAGTCTCAACAGATTTTGCTGAGATTACAATGACAAGTTTTTTCTTCTGAAGTTTTGACCCAGCAGTATCAAAATAGGTATAAGGACAACTAATAATGTATTCTCTTTAGAAAAATGGACAGGCTTTTGCCTAGATCCACTTCTCTTCGTAATTAGCCTTCATGATAATATGTTTTTTCTGGAAAATGTGTAATATACATGATATAGAACTGGAAATGGCCTGCACTTCAACTAACATTTTGTCTCATATATGTCTGATTTTACTTTACAGACATGTTAAATTAACAATTTTAACATAAATGCATACAACTGTCACAAGAAAAACAACCATTATGTGTTGTTAATCCATTTTCACAAGTACTCCATCCCAGATTAAAATTTTTAGCAAATAACTCTAGATCCAAGGACGTTCGGAGCTCCTTGGGACACTGAATGGAGTGGTTTCAGCCAAGGATTCTCGATTGTGGTAGAAAAGCACTAGTCTGGTTCCGAACTACTGTGCGGAGCATTAATTTATGGGTAGGCCGGAACCAGGCTAGAAAAGCACTAGTTTAAATCCAGGAAGGAGATCATGTAAATATAGATATAAGATATATGTAAAGGTCGGTTTTCTTGTGACAGTTGAGTTTATTTATGATGAAAATGTTAATAAAAAATGTTTAACATATAATCATACAATTTTAAAATTTGATAGCATAAATTTTTGTCATTTATGACAGATTATACTTCAAATATATTTCCACATCTTATTCAGACTGAAATAGATAAATCTTGTTTTCATTAATCTGACAATAATTGAGCAAAGGTGACTAGGGTGAGCTAAGTGGCCCATATGGGCTTCATACTTTGTTTTGTTAACAATCTTTTCGTACATTTTTTGCAGAAAAAACCTACAACCTTTGAAGTTTTAGAGAGTTTGGAAAAGGTAAGACAACAAAATATGTGAAAAACTCATTTTAGCAGTCATTAAATTAAGCTACTGGTGGAAAACTTAGTCTATTACTAGCCCAAATCAACTTGTCAATTTAAGCCCATGTGCTTTAAACGACTAAGAATTTTCAATTTATTAAAAATATGAGTACATATCTTACCTCTTACATGTATCAACAGAATATTTCTTAACTTCTTCATATCTTTAAAAAATAATTTTTGTTAACATCTCTTGCCGAGACCAATTTATATTGTATCTTATAGATATTAGTGCAGCAATTTAGTATTTTCCATGTATTAATTTATTAGAATTGCTCTTTATTGATCACTTGATTTATAATGCGTTCAAAGAATCGGTATTCATGTATATTCTGTAAGTATTGAGGCTTTCAAAAGAAAAAGGGGAAGGAACAGAGAAAATAAATGGTAGGGTAAGAAAAAAGGGATACATTTTTCTTTGATCATTCAGAGAAAGGAGCTTGATTTTGGTGTTCATGTACTTATAATTGTCATTGCACTTTAATTCATGGTTCTGTTATGCTACTTGTTTAACTTAGCTTTTCTAGGTCTTTGTCTGTATTGTCAATGTTAATATTCTGATGCACTTTTTATCATGTTTTGTACATGTATATGTCAAAACATCTTTCTGTGAGTTTGAATATAAGCTGAATATCAGGGCTTTCAAATTTCAAAAAGATTAGAAACATATGGTGCTTTTTCACGATTTTAACTAAATGTGTTATCAGATTTTTCTTCAACAAATATTTTGTTTGGTACATTCATAATTTCAGCTGGGTAAAAATACCAGGTACCGATACATTTTGAAAGGCCTGGAATATGCATTCCATTTAAAAGAATATAAATATTGAGCATCTTGTAAATCTGGATCATGCATTTGTACAGCCAACTCGTGCCAATATTCCCCAATATAAGTTCAATAACCGTATAATACTGTGATATATTTTTCAGGAAATTGAGACACTGCAGAAGTTCCGTCGCGATAACCTTCAGAAACAGAAGAGCTTTATCACTAAGTTGATGCTGTATTCCATACTGATGTATATCGTGGCCTCCGTCATTTTCTATTTTTACTTCTTCCCAAACAATTGGAGGGACAGACTTCTTTATTCCTCCCCTCTTCTTATCTTTCCAGTTCTGTGAGTATAAAACTGTGTGTGTGTGTGTGTGGGAGGGGGTTGAGGGAGGGGTCAGTAGATAAGATAAGGGATATATAGCTGAAGAACTGTAGCATTACGGTTTTATATATTTGTCTTTGAGCATAACGCTACAGATCCCGTAATGCAAAAAAGGTGCAATTTAGGGTGCAATATTTTTTGCGCACTTTTGGGGAGAATTTCTCCACTTTCAGCATTGGTCAATGAACTACCTTTCACTCCCTAATTCTAGGCACATTTTTTAAAAATAATCTGTATATTTTATCCATCTCCCAACCCTTTATAGTCGTCTCTACAAGTGATAAACTCGCTTGATCAAAAATATTTGTTAGATTGCTGAAAATTCACTTCAAGTGAGTTTATTGCCTGTACAGAAACTATAAATGGTTGAGAGGTGGATAAAATATACATATTGGCTACAGAAATTGTCTAGAATTAGGGAGTGAAAGGTAGTTGATTGACCAATGCTAGAAAGTGGAGAAATTCTCCCCAAAAGTGCGCAAAAAATATTGCACCCTAAATTGCACCTTTTTTGCATTACGGGATCTGTAGCGTTATGGTCAAAGACAAATATATAAAACCATAACGCTACAGATCTGCAGCTAAGGGATATACTGTTCTCTCTATTTCTAGTATACTTCTTATATAACTATTCTTATAATCAATGCAACATTTGATATGCTTTACATCTGATGAATTTTCAGATTATTTATGCTGATACTTTATTTTTTTCTCTTTACAGTGTGTGGTTGATAAGAAAATTTCTGCACTGGTTCTTTGTAAAAAGAATAGCTAAAAATGGTATGCAGTGCCTGAAATTGGAAATGAACTTTTTTCCACCCAGAAATGTAAAGTAAAAGAAGCATGGGCTTATCTTTAATAAATGAGGTTCATTTAATTCTTTATAAAAAAAATTACAGCAAAACATGCTTACAACAAAGATGGATGAATTTGCTGTATCCGTTCAGTTTACAATATATTATAGAATTATTGGGAATGAAAATAACTTTGTTAGTTTTTACAAGTGTCAATTCATTACAAGCAAGTTTTAAAGTATTTATTTATTTTTTTATATAGATTTAGCTTTACAAGATTTGAAAGAGAAGAAAAAGAAAATTGTGAGTAGGATTTGTATAATTTTTATACATTTCCTTATTATTTTGGTGTTGTGTCTATGAATTTGAAATTATCCCTGCAGTTATCATGATTTTACTATTTAAATGTTTACTGAGGTAAAATTTCCTCCTTTATCATGTTTATACATCTGAAGTTAAGTTATTACTTATAATTAAACTGATGAAATCATGGTAATATCTGCCTTAATATAGCTCTGAATAGCAGTAAAATATGTGTTTTTCGGACCTTGTAAATGAATAAAGGTGCAAATATAGAATTCATGGAGTTTATTTTCAAGATAGGGTACCTGCCATATTTCTTCAGGGAAAAAAATTCCTAGACTGTGAAGTATTGATAAACAAAAATCAGAGTTGTTAACTAACATGTTCATTGTTTTGCAGTTAGAAGATGTAATGGAAACAGAAACCTATAAAAAAGCCAAAGAAATCTTGGAGAGGTTTGATCCTGAGAGATTTAAGGAAATGAAGGTAAAAATGTAGACACCTGTTCATTAAGAATTTTCTTTTTTCAGACACTTACAATAAATAAAGTAATACATTTATGTCCTACAATAAATAAAGTAATACATTTATGTCCTACTTTTTCAGACACCTGCACCATCAACTCCTAAACTGCCTTCCCCAGGATCAGGTAAATATCGTATACAGGGTTATTTTTGCCCTGTCTTATTTTCACCCTTTTACCCTAGCAAACAATTTTGCCCCATTTAAAATTTGTCCAGCGACATTTCTTGTTGACATATTATACAGTTTTCTCTGAATTCACCCTGTTTTAAATTTGCCCAACTTGACTGAAAGGGGCCAAATCAAAACTGAGGGCAAAAGAGTTCGGTTGCAGTATAATATGTGGAAAAATTTCTATTCACATTCAGGTTAAAGATATACAGTGGAGCCTCATTTATCCGGACGCTTTGGTTCCCAATAAATTTGTCCGGATATGTGAAGCGTCCGGATACCTGAATTACAAGTTAAACAAGACAAATTAACATTTAAAAATTCCATTCCTCGGAAAAGTCGTCTGGATGCTGAAGCATCCGGATATCTGGCATCCGGATATCTGAAGGTCCACTTTAGATTTAATTTTTATTTCTATTGTGACTGTTCACTGTCGATACAGCAATTTGCTTGTTTTTAGAATGATGACAAGTTTTAGTTTTTAAACAGCAGAAATTATAATGATTATACACTTTTAAACAACTTGGTAAAACACTTTAAACAACTTGGTAAATTACATATCATCAGTAGTGTTTCAGAATTGGAGGAAAAATACAATCGATTATGAATCGAATCGGAAACACCGTTTCGATTCATAATCGAAAGTAATCGGACATTTCTCATGTTTCTTTTTTTACATTATGAAACTCCTTAATTAGGGCCCCGCAAGGATCTGCGGGTGCCCTATAGTAATCACTCTGTCTGTCCGTCTGTCATTCTTCCGTCCACAAATTTTCTGTTTTTTCCTAATAACTTTTTTTATGGTTGACCAATTAAGTTCAAATTTGGTATGGTAGTTCAGTAGGCAGAAAGACATATTTTGATGCTAAGTTTGGTTCTCTATGTCCTCTGGTTTGGAGCTGGGGTGGTGGGGTAGATTCCTTAACTTTATATAAGAATGAATTGGCAAAGAGAGATAACTGCTGAAGATGTTCCCCTTGTAAACTGAATACTGCAAATTGAGTCCTTTGGGATTAGCTTTCCTCCTGAAGAAAATCCAAAGCATTATCTTTATCTGTCATATTGAGATGAATTGCCACCTCTGTTTGCAAATGAAATTTGTAGTCAATTTGGAATGCTATGAAAACTCTGAAACATGGAGTTAAGTATAAATGTTTATACTTTATTTTTGTTAAAATATCCTACACAATGAGTTCTGATTTCATTGAATTCTAAAAATATTTGCTGTATGTAAATTCAAGAATATTATTATCAATTTTTAAGGTACCTTGATAAAAACCTCATTCTATCATTAATGAAAAAGTTCTTCTTGTAAATTTTAATGAAAATGATGAGAGAGAAGTACAATTAATCCCTTGGGATTAATTATTTAGCCAGATTAGCCTGCTGCAGAAAATTTGGAAGGCTTATCTTTAGCTGTCACTTTAAGATTAATGAAAACCTTTTTCTGCATTTGCTGTTTGTTTTGAAGTTAAGGTCAAGCCTTCATGATATTTGCATTCATTGAAGGAACATATAGAGTTGTTCTGAATTGTTTTGAATCATTCCGCAAGCTGCACCCTTATAATTCTATCCCATGGCTGGGCCCTTGCTGATTGGTCAGTTTTCTAGTTTTGTATTGTGTTATTATTAAGAACTGCAGTAAAGAACACATAGGCCAATATTTCAGTTTTAATGAATATGGTAATTTTCTACAATTATTCAAGGAAAGGATAACACTTGTTTAAATATCAAAGAAAAATGATTTTAATAGTACATGTATATATAAAATTATGAAACTGATAACTTGTAGACAATTATATGTTTCATTTTTTTTAATAACATTTAAAATGTTTATAATTAAGCTATATTGATCAGTTTAACACGTTGAAAATTTTGATTAAAGGTTTTGATTTTTAAAAGATGATAATTTTCCTTAAAATTTTATTCCTATATATTAGGAAAAAATTAAAGTAAAAGTTCAACAAGTTGTCTACCTTCATAAATGTTCACATTTGAATGGGTATGCACAATAAAAATAACACTACTTCTTTTGAATTCCTTATATATGATTTTAAAAAATGGTAGCATAATGTTTAACTTCTGACTGGCCTCTTAATATTTAAACTATAAAAAAAATAATACATAAAATGTGAGTGGAGAGTAGAAAATATCGTTTCATATGAGAACAGAGGAAATTCAGCTTAAAAGAAGATTTTTAGCTCACCTGAGCCGAAGGCTCAAGTGAGCTTTTCTGATCAAAATTTGTCCGTCGTCTGTCGTTGTCGTCGTCGTTGTCGTCGTCGTTGTCGTTGTTGTCGTTGTCGTAAACTTTTCACATTTTCATCTTCTTCTCAAGAACCACTGGGCCGTTTTCAACCAAACTTGGCACAAAGTATCTTTGGGTAAAGGGGATTCAAGTTTGTTAAAATGAAGGGCCACGCCCTTTTCTAAGGGGAGATAATCATGATTTTGAGAAAAATTAATGGCATTTTAACAAAATCTTCTTCTCAAGAACCACTGGGCCAGGAAAGATGAAACTCGTGTGGAATCATCCATAGGTAGAGTAGATTCAAGTTTGTTCAAGTCATGACCCCCGGGGCTAGGGCAGGTCCAAAATGGCCGATCAAAGTTTTACATAGGAATATATAGGAAAAATCTTTTAAAAATCTTCTTCTCAAGAACCACTGGGCCAGGAAAAATGAAACTCATGTGGAATCATCCTCAGGTAGAGTAGATTCAAGTTTGTTCAAGTCATGGCCCCCGGGGGTAGGGCGGGGCCAAAATGGCCATTCAAAGTTTTACATAGGAATATATAGGAAAAATCTTTAAAAATCTTCTTCTCAAGAAGCACTGGGCCAGGAAAAATGAAACTCATGCGGAATCGTCCTCAGGTAGAGTAGATTCAAGTTTGTTCAAGTCATGACCCCCGGGGGTAGGGCGGGGCCAAAATGGCCGATCAAAGTTTTACATAGGAATATATAGGAAAAATCTTTAAAAATCTTCTCTAGAACCATTGAAACAGGAAAGATGAAACTCATGTGAAATTATCCTCAGGTAGTGTAGATTCAAGTTTGTTCAAGTCATGACCCCGGGGTAAGGGTGTGGAAAAAATGGCCGACGAAAGTTTTACATAGAAATATATAGGGAAACCTTTTAAATCTTCTTTTCAAGTACTTCAAAGCCAGGATTAGTAATATTTGTATGCAATCATCCTCGGGTAATGTAGATTCTAGTTCGTTCAAATTATGATCCCCTTGGGGGTTAAAATTCCCCCCCCCCCCCCAATTTAAATTAACTTTCAGTTCTGATCTGATATGTGTTTTTTCCTAGCTGATGTGCTCAGGTGAGCGCTGTGGCCCCTGGGCCTCTTGTTTTAAGTGGTGCTCTTAATGGTTATATTTAGTCATCAAATTCTTTTGCTGCCTATATGAATTATGTCTGATGGAAGGGAATATTATTTAGATTAAGCCATAATTATTATTTTCTAAGCATGTTTACGAATTTTTCGCTGACTCAGTTACCAAAGGTTACAAGCACAGTTTAGTACAGATGACGGTCAGGAACTTGTGTGCACATGGAAGATGCATGAAAAATAATCAAAGTACCATCTTTGTACAAGAGAAAAAAGGTGCATAACACGAAAAAAATACAATAATTGTTAAGATTTAGCATTATGTTTAAAGTATCTATATATATATATGGCGACAATCGATTTTGCTGTTAAGCTATTGATTGTCGGCATCGCCTAGCTTCCAACGACGATTTTTCGATCGTCGGCGACTATCGCTGAATCACTAATCATCAGATGATTGAATGGATTTACTTTTTTCTTGGAATGGAATTTTTCTTTTTTCAGTGATTTGCTTTTGAGCTTGGTACCAATGTATGGTCATGCATACACTGACGTTGCTAACGGTTGCAACTCTTAAGAATTAGAAAAATTTTTTGAAAAATTAAAATATTGATCATGCATTTCTAAAAATTTTCAGATATAAGACAAAGAGTCAATGCCAGGATGGCGACTATTGGACCAACAGGAGGGACAAACCCCCGGCCGGCCACACCCTACCCCAGGGCCAAGACCCCAGGGATGGGGCTCCCTATGCCTAAACCATACACAACCCCTAATATACCAGGGCAGATCAGACCAAGAATGTTAGCTTCACCACAACAAGGTAAACTGATACAAATTAAAACCTGTCTCTGTGTTCTTTATATTCAGAAAATGAAATTATGGATTTTACTCACCTTTCTTAAAAAAGATTATCATTTTTTTTTAAAATAATATTACTAGTGAATAATATAAGCAGATAACACAAGAAGGTATCCAATACTGTAAGGAATATTTTCATGAAAATTTTTTGCTTTCCTTGAAAGCATTTTAGATACATGTAGGACTCCAAAGTGCGATGGGACTCCAAAGTCTGATGGTCATGCCAAAGTCCGATAGTCTGCGCTAAACCCCGATGGTTTGCCACGCCAAAGTCAGATGGCGTGGAAAACAATTAACATTTATGACGTCATAGTACTACAGCGCCAAACCTCAATGCCTCGCCATACCAAGGTCTTAAATAAATAAGTATAAATAAATAAATGCGAAAACTAACCCTTATCTCTCAAATAGGTGCAAGACTAACCCTAAACGCTCAAAAAGTGTTTATCAACTATAACCTAGATATCTTGGGTGGATGCGAGACTAACCCTATTCACTCGACCAGTGTGTGTGGACAAATCTAAATCTCTCATGTTGGTGCAATGCAAGGACTAACCCTAATCAATCGAGTGGTGTGCGAGGACTAATCTTAATATCTCTGGAAGGTGCAAGCAATAAGCAAAATCAATGAAATTGCATTCGAAGACCAATTCAGAAGTGATGGCTTTTGGATGCAGGACAGACAATGGCATCAAGGATTGACGTCAAATTATTGTGATGTCATAAACGTTGATTGTTTCTATGCACCATCAAACTTTGGCGTGTCAGACCATCACACTTTAGTTCAGCGCATCTCATAGGAAACAAGCCATGGGACTTTGGCTTGACCATCGGACTTTGGCGTCCGTAACGACAGCAGACCATCTGGCTTGGCTTGATTTTGGTGTCACCATTGGACTTTGGAGTCTTACATGTATACCAAAAATCGCTTTGTCACCTATTGTGTACCATACAAATAATGTTTAACTAACTTAAAGTTAGAACCCAGAGATTGCAAAAGTAGCATTATACAGATTAAATAGAATGGGGTTAACTTTGAATTGAAAAATTCTTGCAATAATTTTGATAAGCCAAAAAAAATAAGGTTAAATAGGATCTGTCATAAACACAAATGCCTATACAGTTGTGATAAGTACATTTAAATGAAGTTTGGAAATTTTAGTACCAATAAGACCTACACTTTATAAATGAGAAGATACTTCACCTTTTGTTTCATGATTTTGATCTGTAGCAGGCCCCTCATCTTTGACCAGGCCCATACCTCCACGGGACCGAACAAAAATGGACCGAGTGTTGGAGTATCTGCTGGGAGATGGACCACAACACAAGTATGCACTAATCTGTCAGAAGTGTGCATCCCACAATGGAATGGCTCTGAAGGAGGAGTTTGAATACATTGGTACTTGACTTTGAATTCTTTGCTATTGATATTGCTTTAATATATTTTAACTATACAACTTAATTATTTTTCACCAACAAATTCTTTAATTTGAGATTACTTCAATAAAAGTTTAGTTCAGATAATTTTCACCTCAGTAGAGTGTGACATATCAAAGCAATCGAAACAAAGCCCTATGTTGTCTCTCTCTTTCTTAGCCTTTAGATGTGCTTATTGTCGATACTTCAATCCTGCAAGAAAACAGCGGCCCACTGCACCAAAGCTGGACTTTGAAACCCCCAGTAAATCATTCACAAAATCAGGTATGTAATATGAATTTTACTGTAATGATGCTTTGAAAAGTGCCTTTGCAGATCAGATACTATGCCATGATCCAAAGGTGAATAATTTCTTAATAATTTATTCATTAGACCCATTAATTATTTCAAATTTTCAGTGGGTTGAGGAATGTAATTCATGGATAAATGTTTTATAGTTTATATGGCCTGAAAATGTAATCCTGGTGCATCAAGGAATACATGTAAGTGAAAATTTATTAATACCCATAACATAAGGAAGACAGAATTACTTTAGATATTCTTGTACAGGTATTAGGGAAGAAGAAGATGAAGAAACAGAAGAGAGTGATACAGAATCTTTAGAAGAGGAGGGAGAGGACAAGACCACCAATTCTACCTCCTCTACAAAAGAGTCTACACAGGAAATGAAGGTTACCTCAACCAGTATACTGCGGGAGGAAGAAGCAGAAGAGAATCCAGATGAATCCATGGAAACAGACCAGAGAGAACCGGTTCAGACTCAGCTTTCAGATCACTCAGAACCAGATGATTTTCATCATATTGATCCAGTGAAAGATTTTCAGGAGAAAACATGATTTATGCAGTGTCTGAAAAGGTGTAAATTTGAAGGTTTTCTTGGTATGCAAATTCCATTTTTCAATGTTTCTCATCTTTATTTAAATTTGCTCCCTAAACCATAAAAATGTTTTGGTTTTTTTTTTTTTTGTCTTCTAAGCTAATTAATTGGCAAGCTTTGACGATGGATTTTTATTTTTTGAGGGGAGAGAGGGATGTAATAACAATTGAGACTAATTTTCATTTAGGACTAAACTATAGTTGTAATTTTACAACATATTAACTTATGATAAAACAGACATTGTTTGACTGAGCTCATGGCTTTTGTTCTGCAAGATTTCATATTTTATTCCAATCATAAAGATAGTCAGCCTCGGCATCATAGCATCTTGAATCCTCCGTTATTTCAAAGTTTTTTTGTCTAGTATAATTTTCTTGAGAATGAGGCTTAACTGTAGTATGTTTCAATAGAAGGAAGTTCATTTGTTTTTTGGCCAGTTATTTTTAAAGAATTATTACAGAAGAATAATATTGATAGTTTATTAATGATATACAGAGTGTATCAATCTACATGATTTATGCTGCAAAATACTCAAAAATTGAAATTAAAATCAAAATTGTTATGTTAAGACAATTTAGGTTGTACATGTATGTTTCTGTAATTGGTGAAAGACGATGTAATTTATCATTGTCTAAAATTTATACAGTTAATTCTCGATAAACCGCCACCTTTTGTGATTTAGAAATCATGGCGGTATAACGAATTTGGCGATGAATTGAATTTCCCATCTTCTGGAACATGTGGAAATCAAGAAGTAGAGTTACCGTTCTTAGAAATATCATTTAGCGTTTCTATTCTTATTATTACATGTACCTGTATACAAAAACATATTTCTGATTAAAAATACTTCAAGTAATTTTTTTTAATGTACGAATTCGCTAAAACAATATGTGCAGTTATGAAATAAAGACAAGTACATAGGTGTGCATTTAAGTTTGCAGTTCTGCTATTGAAAAAAAAAAAACAAAACATGCTGAGTCGATCGTCGTGATATATTGCCGATAGAAAGTAAAATGAATTCTTGAATAAATGTATTGTTTATGGCAACATTGTTAATTAAACATTCACAATTTATACCATATAATTATTTTTTTCAGCAAACTTTGCATTGTTTCAAGCAGAGATCTTCTAAATAATATAGTTATCGGCGTATTTTAACAACGACCGCTTTCGTTGTTAAAGCCGTGACTGAATAATTTTTATTAAACAGAAAACAAAATTATTATAACAGTTCAAGTTAAAATTATTGTTTATTTAGTTCTTGTTAAATTACTTAATTGCTTGTACCTTGTCTGCCTTAGCATGCTTTACAACAGGGATAGTGTCAACCAATTAGCCGCGCTTCACTGACCACACGCACCTGTGGCGGTATATCGAGATAATTGACACTTAAAAATGGACGTTTGTTGTGAAAACAGGGATTTGTGGGAAATATATGCGAAAATGGCGATGAATCGAATGGCGATAATTCGAGAATTGACTGTACTGTGGTTCTCGCTCCTTTATTTTGGCTGATTAAATATGATCCCCATTGATTAAAATTTAATTAAACTCGGTTATAAGTAAGTCATTAGTACCTATGAAATTACTTCGCTATATCAGTAATTTGTTATATCCATGTAAGGAATTTGTTAAATGTAAACAGCTGGGGATCCAAGATAACTTCACTATATCGGTGAATTCACAATATCCGTGTTCATACTAAAGTTTTACTGTAACTGCTTTCAACACATAATTGCTGCTTCTTTAAAAATGTGACTGTTGAGGAAGAAGGAAATTTTCAAATATTTTTCAAGATAGCAACAAAATTTTATTTGATTACCATCTGTGTTCAGTAGTTTTTCACCAAAGAACATTGAGCATTAATGAAAATCATTAGAGTGTGTGATTTTAAATTTTCTTGTACATTTGCTGTAGGATTCTATGGTGAGTGCAATTTACTATCATTTCAGGGATAATTGAAAATGATTTGCAGCTAATTGAAATTATTTAAGCACCAGTAGTTATGTTATGTTTGTTAGCCTTAAATTTTGTTTGTAATAGAGGTCATTATATATACTTAATTTTTGTGAACCAAAGGGTGCAAGAAGTGAGTACCATGTCTAAGAAAGTGCTACTTTTGGAAACAAATGTATTTATGTGTTTAGTGTAACTATTGTATTAATCAGTTGTTAAATTCGTGCTATTTTACTGTTATTTTTTCAAGGTTAGAAAATCTATACTTATATGCATATTATACCATCTAAACCTATGTATTGGAATTGTATCATCATCTCTATGATTTTCATTGGGTTAGGAGGAGAATAATTCTATCAATATATTAATTATGAATCAGATTTTTGTTAAAATCTGATAATTTTATTTTTGTTTTTGTTTGGAATATTTTGATGACAGAGTATGTATTAGTGTCCCAGTCAGGGAATATTTACTGGTATGATAACAGTTAAGGGAAATATTTATCCAAATGCTCACATTCCAACAAACCCCAGTGCTGTGTTTATTATTTATTTATATCGATTGTATGATAGTCCATAAATATGTTTGATTTACACACTTTAATTTAAGTGCAAAAACGATTGAAAATTTAGTGGGAAAGTTAATTAATGTTTTTCATTTTGTGTGTGCCATTTTGTTTTTTTTTTTTTTTTTGTTGAATTTTTATGGTTTCTTTCATTTAAGTTGTTCTTTTTGTATGTAACCACATTGTGCTTACTAGTTTAAAATTGTTTCTGTACATACGTAATACAGACCTGTCTGCTCTCCTTGTTTTCTCTTTAAATTGCCAATTATTGCCATGATTAAGTTTATTTTAAAACATACATGTATCTTCTGTGAGTTGCATGTAAACAATGAGTTTATTTCTTTCATAAGAAACCTTTTAAATTTTCTTCAGCATAAAAGTCCAATCTTGCAGAAAACTATGGAAAATGTGGGTTGGCAGGTCTGTTAACTCTGTCTTTTGTTCCAAGTCCTCAAGAGTAACCACCTTCTCGAAGTAAATGTATTTTTATGTGGCATACTTAAGAAGAAAAAAAAATGAATTCATAGCAGTTGTTTTTGTACTCTGCATAATATATTTTTCCCCATATGTGTTTCAGTGGGACATGGGTAGTTTTAATTGAATCATTGTTTTAATATTTCATTTATGGTAAAATTAGCTAGTCTACATTTACCGAGTCTAGATTAACATGAATTTCGATTATGATATTTCTTTAATTATTATGCAGTCCACATATACAATGTATGAAATTTTGATTCTGAAATTACTGAGTGTAGATTAAAGAAAAATGTTTAACTGTTTGTAATAAATTGTATTCTTGTACTAGTCACTGCTGCATGGTAACTCTACTGAATTTTGTGTAATGCTATGTTGTCAATTTTGTGCCAATTTTGCCTCCCTTTTTCAAGTGAAGTGAGGCCTGATGTTTGTTTAACATCCAATAAATTGATTGTGCTGTTGAACTTGTACATGTAAAAAATGGAATATCTGATTGTAGAATATTCTCTATATTCTGGATAATTGTGTTAACAATTAAACTCCAAGAAAAATATTCGCCTGGGTTGATATTTACATATGGTGAATGACAAACCATATTCACCTCCAAAGAAGTCCATAATTGTGTAATATTCTCTAGACCTATATTCTAAAACTGTGTTATTCTCTGAATAATATTGAATATTAGAATATAGAATATTACTCAATTATCTGAGAACATTTTGTTTGACTTAAAACTGATGCTACATTTAGTGTTAACAGTGACATTTATAAAAGATTATAATAGGAAAGCAAATGTTATTAATCTATTTTGCATTAACAATTAAAAAAAATCTACAAGTGCTGTAACAATTATTACCACCTTGACCATGTCAATTTTCATATGTTAATATTTATGAATATATTAATCTCCGTTTGAATTTTTTGTATTGTATGGTATACAAATAGTTCATACATGATTAAATTGTTGAACCTAACCATTATTGTTTTTATTCTGCTTGCTTTGCATACTTATCCAATTTTAAATCTAATGAGTGGTATTATACCTCACACTGAAGACTTGCTCTGTTGCAAGTGTGTTGCTGAAAGGCTGCAGGAAGTTTGAAAGAGGCAAAGACACAGTTGCAATGTATTGTGAAAGGACGTTTAAAAACTTTTTTTGTTTGAGAATTAACAATACTAGCGGGAGGTTATCACACTACATGACAATTTCATGGACAATTTACCCTTGCTTTTAGCAAAAGTTGGATACCGATGTATTAATAAAACTACAATTAAAGAAGCCAGAAAATAAAACTAACACACCAACTTCGTCAGTTCCTGTTCAGTGTACTGTTTTGTGTGTAGTCTTAGCAAATCAAACATTAACACTAAGGGAGGTGGCTATTGGACATATAACTTCTTTATCTTGGTCACACTTTCATGAAAAAGATGTATAGTGGAAATTTAATTTGACAATCAGAAGTGACATCAACTAAGTTCAATGGTCTCTGAGCCAGTTTCCAATTCACAAAAAGTCATATGACAAAGATAAAAATTTTACATCTCTCGTACATAATATCTTTGTTAAAAATAATTTTTAAAAACCTTATTCGCAATATATATTGTTATGCATTAGAAATATGGTTTTTGATAACCTACTTAAGCTTAAAAGACACTTTTGTCTTTGTCATGGTATTTTGTGAAAAGGTGCACTGCAGTCTATGTTAGCAAATGGGGCAAAAAGGTATTTAAAGCTCACCTAAATCAAGTTCAGGGAAAACGCAAAACCAATAGCACTGACATCTAAGGTGTTTAAAGAACTCTGCCCAATGTAAATCAGTGATGCATGGATGCTGTTTCTAGTCTGTATCCTGTTCTAGTTAATGTTTCAGATGCTGTGATTTCAGCTAAAGAATGATCAGGTTAATGTTGAAAGTTTTTGGGGCAGGGCTCATTTCATGAGACCATTATTGGCCAAACTTGCTTGGTTGAAACATACAAGGATACACACAAACAGACTTGCTTGGGATGCCGAATCTGACCGCCATTTTCATTACGAGTGACCAGGTCCAAGGTACTGGACAGATTCTATTATAAGTAACAAGCTAAATTTTCACAAATGCTGCACCGATGGTTCATCCATGGGTGTACACTGGACTAATGCTTTGAATACTTCATCTCATACTTTTGAATGATTGACCAAGTTACCATTTTTGGAGCAGTCTCAGTCAAGTGTCTTGGAAGTCCCACTAATAACAATGGATGAAGCTCTGAAAGATAAGCACATTCAAACTTGCTTCAGATGCTGGATTTGACATACCAGTACTTTATAATAGTCCATTCCCAAGTAACTGCAAGCCCTATCAATTTTTAAAGAAGTGCTTTTATAAACAATCTACATCAAACTACTGTATACAGGGAAATTTTCACCCCCAATTTATTTTCGCCCTTGTCACAAGTGGGCGAATTCAAAGAACACAGTATAAATTCTTACACAGAACTCGGACAGGGCGAATTTAAAATGGGTCAGATTAGTAAGCA